TTTTCCATTTGTGTATGCTGGCTTTCTCTCAACTGCTGTAGTCTCTCTTCTTGTTTCTTTTCTTTTTCCTAAAACAACTGCTATAATCTCTCCTCTTGTTTCTTTTCTCATTCTTGTATTGCTGCCATCAAATCTGCTAAGCTGTAGTTTGATTTGCTACCTCTCATTTCCATCTTCTTTTTTTTTTCCCCGTCCCACTCTCTGACACCAATTTGTTGCGTATCTGCTCGTTTGTTAATTTCCGGGGAACTTCAGCAATACAAGTCCTTTTTTTCAATTAAAACTAGTTAATTCTTTCTTGATACAACTTTGTAATACACAGAATTTCCACAGTCAGTTTAACTTAACTAATTTTATTAAAACACACTATAATTCACAAGGATTCACACACTTTACTTACGGCTTGACTCGATTATCGCTATCTTCAATCTCTCTCTATGCATCTGCAATTATTTGCCGGGCTTATATACTAAAATAGAGGGCGCCTGGAAAAGACTAGAGTTGCCAGGACAATTCACGATCTTTCTAAAAACTCATCACGTGTTACCAGCGTCATGTGACTTCCACTGTCGTAACAATATGCATATACATTATTTACAAATAAGTTCTTAAATTTCCGTTATTTTTCTTAAAACATCAAACAGTAAATAAAGAAATATAAGTAAAAATTATCTCTTCTAGTTATGAGCTTTGTATTCATTTGTGGCTTGCCGTAATTTGCTAAGCCTTATCACATTTAGCATGTGGAGAATGTAAAACAATAATTTTTTTAAATTTTATATATGCATTTTGAAATAACAAAAAAATAATAAATTACCATATAAATACCACAGAATTCTACTATAATTTATGAGGCTTAGTAGCTAAGCTGTATCTGGGTCTAAAAAATATGATTTTTGAAGCTCAATAATGTCTTACCTTACCACTTGGAATCTGCCATGAAAAGAAAGGGTTTCCAGTGTGAATACTCTGCAAAGGCTCAGAGAACCACATGAGGGACATTCTGAGCTTTTATTTGGTTATTCACGTGACATACACAGAAGTAGGTGTACGTAAGTATTTCCAAAAATGGAAAGTGATGGGCAAGGCCACTGTGTTTGATTCACTAAATCTATCGATATCTCAGTAAATAGAAAAGATGGGAGGTTCTTATTTTATATTCTAGCTTGTCAATATAGGTAATTTGTGTTCCTAATTAGTAAGAAACTACAGATTATTGTATTTGGACATCATAAACATAAACCAATGCTGCATTCAACATACCATATGACACACAAAAATCAATATTTAGGATTTTTTATATTTACATTTAAAGAAATTAACTAATGTATAATATTTAAATTTGAATTATAATCTACAATTTGATACCAAACTTATTGATATACATTCATAAAATAGTAGTTCAATAAAATTTTGAATTAAAGTCAACAAGCATTATGACATGGCCCTTGACCCATGGCCATAGGAAGACCTGTCAGACCCATCTCAGTAGGGTCAATGCCAAACCTCTACCTTTTTACACTGCCCTTCAAATAGCACTCCAAAGTGAAAGATATAACATATCAGAATATCATTGAAAAGCAATTTCATGTTCATCACTTAGTGTATAATGGTTTCTGTATCAAGACAATAAGTTTCACTTTCGTCAATAGCTTGTAAGTTATAATTCAGCTACTTGCAAAATATATGGCAATAATTTGTTGATTCCTAACTTTTATAAAGAACTCACCTTTGTGTTGCAGGTATGCAGCAGCAGAAAAGATACACAAGCACATGCAGAATTCTAGCATTTTAAAGTTTCCATCACTTCTGGTTCATAGTTAAACAAAGCTAAGCCCACAATAAGACAAATCAAAATGTGTAGTTCAAATAATTACATCCTAACAAAAATTAAAATTATGTACCAAAATTAAAAATTTGGAAAATTTCTAATTGGTTCTTCACAAAAATTTTAACTGGGCCTTATAAAGTTTAATTGGTCCACTCCAAAAACATGTATATACATGTTAATTCAGTTTTATCAATTGCAGATGTAAATTTTTTAAAGAAAGACAACTGTAAATATGTATGCGCATATATGTATAACATTAAACAAAACTTTTTAAACTGAAAACAACAGTTTCTGATCATATCACTCTCGAAATGTACATAACTTTTATGTTAATCCAGATAAACAGAAAAAGAAATAATGTGACTTGAAACTACTATTTTAATACTGACCAAAAGGTATTTCTCAACTGACATGTTAATATTTGTCACATTCATGTTCCAGAAAACTCCTTTTCATTTCAGACATCATAAGGATTTCTCATAATGTCTAAAAATAAGCCATGGATCTCCAGATAGCTACAGACTCCATTTGGGAGATTGAAGTAAAGAAGATAATTTCACAACATGAAAACACAATTGTGGTTTTAGGACAAAAGTATAAAAATACATGTCTGATGAAAAGTTAAAGTAGGAAAATTGGTTAAAATTCTAATTTACTCTGTGGGGCAAATTAGATTGTTATTACTATTTTTCTATACTAGTTGGCCCACAGGCCTCCTAGCAGGTCAGGGCTGACTAAACAATGGAAATTTTGGACCCTGTCATGCATATATGTTTTACAATCATAAAATTAATGAGTCATGATTCAAATTAAACTTATAAAGTGAACTGCTACAACATTTTGGCTGTTATGATGCATTTTTAGCTTATGCAATTTCTTAATTGGATAAGTTTACACTGTAATAATTTTTGCCTATTTTGAGTCTCAATGGTTTGTTTTAAATATATATATATATAATCCAAATGACTAATGTGTTGTTTTAACATTTAGATGCTGGAAACAAATGACTCAAGTAATTTGTTTTTTAACTTATTTTTTTCCAGTAACTCTTTGTTTAAAATTTTTTTCTTGGCATCATGGTATTGTTTATTAAACTTTAGGTTGAAGTTGGAAACTCTAATATACAAGAATTTAGGACATAATTCAAAAGTTTTGCATTCTTTTAGAAATTCAATGTGTAATAAGTTCTTTCAATATTTATGTGATCTACAGTGAAACTCTATATATTTATGCTTATGTATGTAGTAGTAACCTAGTCCTTAAGTGCTATAATGATATGCATTCTCACTTTTGTTTTTATGTTCATTCTAAAAATTAGATTTCTGCAACACATATCTGCCACTACTATCATAGTAAACCTTTATGGTATCCACACATTAAAATTATATAGGAATGCTGAAAAAGCACACATAAAATTTCAAAAGAACTTATTACACATTGAGTTTCTAAGCTATTGAATTGTGTCCTAAATTCTTGTATTACGTATATTTAAAACAAGCCATTGAAACTCAAAATAGGCAAAAATTATTACAGTGTAAACTAATCCAATTAAAGAAACTGCACAAGCTAAAAAGAGACAAGTACCCCATAACCATGTTTACTGAGAACCCATCTGAAGTTATACATAACCTTTCTGATCATGTTTTGCTGCAGTCTACACAAACCTACAGATCTTTGGTCTTGTATAAGAAAGTATACTGATTTATTGGAAAGTGTTCAGAGGAGGGCTACTAGAATGATTCTGGGGAAGGAAGTATTATCTTATGAGGACAGGTTAAGATCTCAACTTTTGTTGTACTTAGGAAAGAAAGGTAAGAGGTGATCTTATTGAAGTTTACAAGGTTATCTGGATAAAGGCCATTGATTTTTAAAGAAAATTGGATAAAGAGAGACAGGTTTAAGATTTGGATAAGATAAATGGAGATCCAGTTTTGTTTTTCAAATAGGATGATTGAGATGTGGAATGAGTTACCATCAGAATGTAATGGAACTCAACACCCTACCAGAGTTTTAGAGGAAAATTGATGATTTTCTGAAGAAAAAAAAGGGTAGATCTAATTTTTACTTTTCATGGTAGTGTGTGTGTGTGTGTGAAAGGACAACCTTGAAAGACAAAACCAAACAGGCCCTTGTTCACATCTTATATCTGAGTAATCAAATTAAGTAAGCAATAAAATCTTCCAAAAAGGTTTAGTAAATTAACAATAACTTAAAAAATATTTGATACAATGTTCAAGAGCTTTCAACAAGTGCTAAGTGATGTAAGTGTTGTAAGAACCTTGTGAAACATCAGTTTATGTTCAACAATATGAACAAAGCATATATTTGACCAGCTAAAATGGAAGATAAACATTTAAGTAAGTTCATATAAGTCACATACCTAAGATATTAATTAAAGGAAGATAACTTTCAGAGGAAGAAAATTATCAAGTCTAGCATTGATTCACAACATTTACTGCATAGTAAATACTTATACTACTTCTGATACATCTATATATGCATCTGTAAGATAGTAATTATTATATTGTACACGTAAATGTTTTGATACATTAAAATAGGTAAATTTAAAAAAAAGGAAAATATATAATAATTATAGAATATATACATATACAAATATTTAATGGGGACTACATATAATTTCAATTTGCTGATAATTAAGGTTAAATTATGTTATTCAGAATTGTTAATACAAAATTGTTAGTAATTTAATCAGAAATTACATAAAAACTATAGTTTCATCTCTACTTCCTGACTAAGCAATATAGGGGCCAAATTTCATTACAATGACAAATTATTGTACATACATGAACTCCATCTCTACATTTTACTGTTATTGAAAACAGTTTTCCTAATAGAAAATACATTCACGTACCAACCAACCACAAACATTAATCAGCAAATTTTCTGGAACACCCTCGTATCCACCATACAAAGTAAAAGTAAAATTTTTCCTATGAAAGGTGTTACACTTCACAAAACGACTGTTACTGCCTTCCACTTGATAATCCAAGTCGTCACCTGTAACAACGTCATCTTGAACAAAATAAGTCTGAGACTGCATCACTCTGGCCTTCTTTCTGTGAAACAAACAAATAAAAAAATTAATATTCTTCTTCCATATGAGTATCTTCAATATTCAAGTGACATATTCTGGAAACTAAAATGTAGTCCTAATGCCATAATCTAAACTACTTTCCAATTCTTTCACAAAGGATTTAGGTAGAGCACTAATGATGAACAAAGAAATGTTACTTCCCAGTTGTTTTCCTTTAAAGATACAACCAGATGACACCTATTACATTAGATGTCAAAGAGTGAAAAGAGAGAATACAACACTTAAAAATTCTTAACTTTTATTTAAACATCAGAACTAATGATGAACAAAGAAATGTTACTTCCCAGTTGTTTTCCTTTAAAGATACAACCAGATGACACCTATTACATTAGATGTCAAAGAGTGAAAAGAGAGAATACAACACTTAAAAATTCTTAACTTTTATTTAAACATCAGAACTAAGTTAGCCCAAAATGTATATATACTTCAGAAACAAAAATCCATCCCCCCAAAACATTTTTTTTTAAATCAAAATTATAAATGAACTGTAATATATATAATGTTTACAATTCAAAGTTTCTTCAGTGAAATCAAACTTAATGTCCTGAATCATGTTTTAAATAGTCAATCCTTTTCCTTTATATATTTTTATATTTTACAGTAGATGTACAGAGCACAATTTATTTACAACCACATACAGTAAAAAAAAAGTTACTTTTGGTGAAAAGTTATTAACATAAATCAAAGAAACCATATTTAAACATATAACTAGATCTTTACACACATATCTATTTAAATAAACATTTTTAATGACATTAATATTGTTTTTGTGACTCATGGTAACTATTCTGGAGGCTTATACATATACAGATTATGCCTACCTCACCATTTGAATCATGGTACATGTACATTTTTTACTTAATATTTTATGCTCTATTGCTTTACCACATTTTATATTTTTGAACACTATCTTCACACTAAACATCATCTCTTCCTGAATAGTGTACATTTGTTTTATCTGAATTTTACATTGTTTAAACTACATGAAATTCTGATATGCTGTTTCTTATAACTTGCATAGTATAAGCATACAATGTAATATTTATTAAATTTGAATCTGTACAGGTATGAAATTCTGCACATATATATGTTTACAGTATATATGTGGAAACATTTAAACCTTATATTAAACCTTTTTTTGTATTAAAACTGCACAAGGAATTATTTCTAATTACTAGCAATAATGGCAGTCCTACATCTATAAAAACATAAAAAAGTACCTACGATATCTGAATATTATGGTAGGAAGGAAAAATAAAAAACAGGTGATTCCAAGAATTCACAAATTTTAAAGCATTAATATCCCATTTGTATATAAAAATAACTTAAATAAATTTTAAAAATCTATTCTGAGGAATGTCACAATATAACAGTCATTTAGTCTACCCAGATCTCCAATAAATTTAAGTACCACTGCAAAAAAACAACTACTGTAAATACTTTTCCTATAACAACAAAAAACAAAGTACAACAAACCTTCCAATACTCATTTTACTTCCATAATACTCAGAATCCTGAGACTTTACTAGTGAGTTTATCAATGTTATAGCTGGAAACTGCACAAAATGTTTTCTACTATTAGCACCAGTGAGTTTATTAATTTTATATCTGTAAATTCCATCAAATAAAAGTTTTTATATTCCTATACCAAAAATTTTATTTCCAATAATACTTACCTCTACTCACACTATAGTCTTATCCTGATGAAACTTACTCTTCTCTGTCCATGTAAGCGTTGAGTCAAACCCCCACAGAACCAGACCTTAAGAGTAGTCACTGATGCTGTAATTTGTGCTCCACACGAGTGGAGGATACCTGCTCATAAGAGTGGAATCTCCCTTGTGTTCCAAAAGAATGTGGAGCCGATGCAGTAGGTCTGGAAACCCTAACAGGAGATGCAGGAAACTGTCTGGTAGAAGACTGGAAAAGGTGAGAGGCCAGGGTTGAAAGAGTGATGGGCTACATCCAACCTAGATTCCATGGAATATGGAATACCTACAAAAATCGAATGTCTGAGAAACAGAGCTTCTCTTAGATCTCTTAGGGCTGAAGAAGAAAGTCAAACTCCCTAAAGCAAGTCATCTCTCTCCAAAAGTTCCCAGCAACAAACCAACCAAAAGACCAAGGAGAGAGCCGAAGCTGATAACTATACCAAAGTAGAAGTCAACAAATGACTAAGATCCTCTGAAAACTGAGAGAGGGCCTGTTATAGGTCTCAGACGACAGTTGCATAGAAGATAAACACAAAACTGTTGTAAGGGACAGACAAATTTGGGAAAACTGAGTTTGATTAAGATGAATAGTGGCATCAGGCCTAGAACCTCAAAGAGGAAGAAAGGGATCTAACCTCTGAGAATCCAAATATGGGTTCTCCAAGTGATGGAAAGCTAAGGCATGCTGATCCAATAAACAGGGAAGACAAGGCATGGCAGCACCCTCTCTCAACTGATCAGCAATGTTTGGCAAAGGTGGAAAGACCAGGTAATCAGCCAAATCACTTTCCTCCAACAAAGAAGAAGAGTTGTATGCTACAGAAGTAATGCTCAAGACATCACAAACTTGATGTTTTAGCTGCAAAAGTTATAATTTTCCTATACTGAAAATGTATTTCCAATAGGTACTTTTCTCCTCTCACATGATTAGCTATACTTGCCCAGTGCTGCCCTCTATATGCAAATTATTTCTTTACGCATGGCACAATTCTTCTGCTCCCGTTACTGGAATCAATTGATTCCAACATGTCTCTCATATAAATCTATTCTAAATCTAAAACCCAGCCATGGGGTAATGACATCCATGCGGGGGTAGGATGAGGGCTGGCTCCCAATCGAAGGGGTGAACTGCAGTTTGACGTCTCATTCCTTTGCAAGTGAATATTGCATATTGGAAGATAGCATGTCACCTACACTCACAGAAAACACCACCATCCTATTCTGCACTGAATAGTTATAGCCATCTTTGTGTGGAACCCATTCAAGAGGGTGCCTCCACGGTCGGCCACTCCAGCAGCTTGAAACTGGAAAGTGGTAAGGACTCCCACACTCCACTAGAAGAAAGGGGGGTGAGAGTGCAGTGTATAGTCCAGAGGAATGTCATCACTTGATATAGTGTAATGGGTGACCACAAAACCCTATTTTGAAAAGCAGACCATACCGATTTATTCAATATAAGGCATGGCAGGGATGGGTAGCAATCCCCTTCTGCTTTACCTATGCAGTCTATGGTTGGTATAGAACAGGCAAATTTATGAAGAAATTACATCTTGAGCTTATTCACCTACAAGAGATTGTGTGGAACACCCCATCTCAACAGTGAGCTTTGCAAAACCATGGAAGACAAAGCACGAGTCAACATGGCTGTACAGTGCAGATTTCAAGTTGAAAAATATCTGGTCAGGCACCACTTGCCACAGAGCGGGATCCATATAATGAGTAAAGAAAGCAAAGGCCCCCTTAAAGAAAAAGTATAAATAGAAACTTACCCAGTCAAAGTCATACTGAAGTCTGAAGAATGGCCACAGGTGAAAGATGAAAACCCGACGAAGAAGAAACCCAAGATATGGTTTAATGAAAGATGAACATATTATGTGTAGTCCACATGCCTGACTGTAAAATTTCCTCCAATGGCCCGACAAAGATGAGAAGTGAGGGAAAAGGTGAGGTGTTGAATTGAATGAGAAGACACCTAGAACAAATTATGGGAGGAATAAGCCAATCAAATCAAAATTTGAAGGGTAAAAGGGGGAAAGATCTTGAATAGAGGAAGACTGCCAAGGGATAAAGCATTGGAAGGAAGCCGTGCGGGCAATATAATAGTGAACAGTACAGAACAGACATAGAAGACCATCTGGATCAGGACAAGGGTAGAGATGAGAAATAGGTGAAAAAGAGGAGTTGCCCACCCTAACCACTGAGGTCTTTGGGAGGAAGGAACAATCCGGATAAAGGAGAAGATAGTTAAAGTGGTAAAACATATGTGAAATGTCAATGGCAAACAAATCAGACATTCGATGTCCACAGGCTAAAAGGAGAAGGAAATACAGTAGGTTGGTCAGCAGGGAATCCCAAAGTTCCAGCTTAACCGCAAAACACTTTCCATTTGTGCTGATACACCTCTACTGAAGATTGAAGAAGGAGTTAAGGAAGGAGCTAAAATGAAAGCTACACGAGGAGAGAAACCTGATCTCCTCACCAAGGACCAGATAAAAGCCAGGATTGAAGACGAAAGAAGTGAATGGCTGGATGTGGAACTGGTAACTGAGGTTGATAAAGAAGGGAGGGAGGCAAAGGAAGAGGTACTGGAGGGAAAAGTTGCAGACATTGTAATCGTGGAAACCATGAATGAACTGGCCAATAAGGAGCGATCAGAAGGACACAACACGGAGTGGTATGGATGAGAGATATCACCCAATGAAGTAATCAGACAGGAGGATAAACTTAAAGGAATTTGTGGGACCATTCCTGGCTGAAGGCATAGACAGCCAGAGCCCAAGGATGAGGTAACAGGGATCAAAAGAAAGGTAAGTTGTGACTGAGGTATGTGACAAATGCATCTACATAGGGAAATCTCCATAGACTGTCAAACCAGAAGAAAACCAGGGGAGCTAAAGACCACTCCATCAGATATATTTGGTCGGGTCAGAAAAGACAATCTGCAACAAGATTGAAAGCAACCGGAACATGACACGCAATTATATGAATGTGTTGCATATGAGCCCAATATAGTAGATCCAATGTTCAAAAACAGAGAGATCTTGATCAGGTGCCCCAATGGTGATTGGTATGTGCTACCACTGTAGAATTGTTGGAGTGAATCATCACCAGACAATGTCTGGTGAGAGGAAGGAAGTGATTTAAAGCCCAATGGACCACTAGAAGCTTGAGGACATTGATATGCAAAGATCTTTCGTCTACAGACCAATGACTTGAAGCATCCTGGTGATTGACCCATGCAACCCAACCC